AGACAGAGGTACCAGTTTTTCCCCCCTCAAGCATCAAATTGGTTCCCTCGGAGTGGTGGTGAGCAGCTTCACTGCTAATTGGTTGTGTTAAAATAAAAATAAAAATAATACTACTACCAAAAAAAATAATAGCCCAGCCAAGTTTTCAGAATGTTGGACATTGGATGGATCGTGTCGGTCCGTGCTCTTCCGAGAGATGAGTGTTGATGGCTGCCGAGGGAAATACTTAGTTTAGTCTCTTTAGAAAACACCAGGATAATTCTCTGCATATCTTCCTTGTTTCCTGCCTTCAGATGGTTCTGGTATTTATGATCCTTGTGAAAAAGAAGCCACTGATGCTATTGGGCATCTAGACAGACAACAAAGGGAAGATATCACACAGAGTGCTCAGGTATAGTTTTGCCTACAGAATGTTACGGAAACCTTAAAAAAAAAAAAAAAAAAAAAAAAATCAGTTCCACTGCCTCTGAACTTCCATATTGGTTAACTGGTAGTCTCCCGGAGGTCGCTGTTAACTTTTGGTTTAAATATTTAGTTGGAGTTTAAAAAAAAAAAAAAAAAAAAAGAAAATACAAATGGGTCCCACACTGCTAAGGAAATTTTGTAGCTTGGCCCAACCCAGAAGCAAAAGTATCAGGTTTTAAATAGTGACTTGCTACCGTGAGCCCTAGTTTGGGTTGAACTTCTGAAAAAATATATTTAAAAAAATATAAAATTTAAGAAAAAAAAAATAATAATTCGGAGAGTCCTATTTAAACCGCTGAGGATTTGTGTGTAGGGGTGGGTAGAAATGGTCCTGTCTCAAACTGTGCAGGGAAAGAAGAGATTCGGTGGAGCCGCTCGCGCCTCCCGGTGACACCCTCTCTTTTTTTGGTCTTTTCTAGCACGCTCTGAGACTCGCTGCTTTTGGCCAACTCCACAAAGTCCTGGGGATGGATCCCCTCCCTTCCAAAATGCCCAAGAAACCAAAGAACGAAAACCCCGTTGACTACACAGGTAGGTTTTGGAGAAAAAAACCCACAAACCGCCTTTCTGAGGCTTTTTGCTGCTCTTTTTTTTTGAGGAAACTGGAATATTTACGAGTTTTTGGGTTTTTTTTAATTATTACAATCCCTACAGTCCAGATTCCTCCCAGTACAACGTACGCCGTCACCCCCATGAAGCGGCCCATGGAGGAGGACGGAGAGGAGAAATCTCCCAGCAAAAAGAAAAAGAAGATTCAGAAAAAAGGTATTGAGTTAACGAGAGGTAGGTACAAGAGGTGACAAAACACCCACAAACTTTTGGGTTGGTGTTTTTTTTGTTGTTTTTTTTTTTTAAATTCTCTCTTCAGAGGAAAAACTCGAACCTCCCCAGGCCATGAACGCCCTGATGAAACTAAACCAGTTAAAACCCGGCCTCCAGTACAAACTGGTCTCTCAAACTGGTCCCGTTCACGCTCCCATCTTTACCATGTCCGTGGAAATCGACGGCAGCACCTTCGAGGCGTCGGGGCCTTCCAAAAAAACGGCCAAATTGCACGTGGCGGTGAAGGTGAGAGCAGCCTTCTCGAGGATTTACCCCAAAAGGGGCAGATTCTTGAGCAGCCTTTGAGTATTTACCCCAAAATGGGTGGATTCTTGAGCAGCCTTTGAGTATTTACCCCCAAAATGGGCACATTTTTTAGTAGCCTTCTTGAGTATTTACCCCAAAATGGGCAGATTCTTGAGCAGCCTTTGAGTATTTACCCCAAAATGGGCAGATTCTTGAGCAGCCTTTGAGTATTTACCCCAGAAAGGGCAGATTCTTGAGCAGCCTTCTTGAGTATTTACCCCAAAATAGGCAGATTCTTGAGCAGCCTTTGAGTATTTACCCCCAAATGGGCGGATTGTTGAGCAGCCTTTGAGTATTTAACCCAAAATGGGTGGATTCTTGAGCAGCCTTTGAGTATTTACCCCCAAATGGGCAGATTCTTGAGCAGCCTTTGAGTATTTACCCCCAAATGGGCAGATTCTTGAACTGCCTTCTTGAGTATTTACCCCAAAACGGACAGATTCTTGAGCAGCCTTTGAGTATTTACCCCAAAATGGGCAGATTCTTGAGTAGCCTTCTTGAGTATTTCCCCAAAACGGGCAGATTCTTGAGCAACCTTTGAGTATTTACCCCCAAATGGGCACATTCTTGAGCAGCCTTTGAGTATTTACCCCAAAAGGGGCAGATTCTTGAGAAGCCTTCTCAAGTGGGCAGATTCTTGAGCAGCCTTTGAGTATTTACCCCAAAATGGACACATTCTTGAGAAGCCTTCTCGAGTGGGCAGATTCTTGAGCAGCCTTTGAGTATTTACCCCAAAATGGACACATTCTTGAGAAGCCTTCTCGAGTGGGCAGATTCTTGAGCAGCCTTCTTGAGTATTTACCCCCAAAAGGGGCACATTCTTGAGCAGCCTTTGAGTATTTACCCCAAAATGGGCACCTAAGAGCCCAGAGGTTCTTGGAGGAAACTCTTGAGTCATCTCCCACCTCTCCTTCCCTCAGGTGTTGCAAGACATGGGTTTGCCCACGGGAGTAGAAGGCAAAGAGGCCGGCAAAGGAGACGAGTCGGCGGAGGAAACGGAGCAGAAACCCGTCGTGGTGGCTCCTCCACCCGTGGTAGAGACCGTCTCGACGCCCACCGCTGCCTCACCTCCCTCCGATCAAACCCCCGAGGTGAGTAGGGGGGACCAACAGGGTGGTCAGCATCCTTGGGTTGGTAATAAGGTCTCCCCTCAACCTTCTCTTCTCCGGGCTGAAGAGTCCCAGCTCTCTCAGCCTTTCACGGGATCACAGAATGATGTAGGGTTGGAAGGGACCTTCTGGAGACCCCCCCAGTCCAACCTCCCCAACCCAGAGTAGGTCCCATCCAGGGGGGGTTGGAATATCTCCAGAGATGGAGACCTCCCCACCTCTCTGGGCAGCCTCTCCCAGGGCTCTACCACCCTCAAGTCAAGAAGTTCCTCCTCGTGTTGAGATGGAACTTCTCACGTCCCAGTTTGTGCCTGTTCCCTCTTGTCCTGTCACTGGGCACCACTGGAAAAAGCCTGGCCCCATCCTCCTGACACCCACCAGCCATGAGACCCCCCCTCAGTCTGCTCTTCTCTAGACTCCAAAGCCCCAAGTTCCTCAGCAGAGAGATGCTCCAGCCCCTCATCATCTTCGTAGCCCTTTGCTGGACCCTCTCCAGCAGTTCCCTCTCCTTCTGGAACTGGGGAGCCCACAACTGGTCCCAGTGCTCCAGATGGAGCAGAGCAGAGTGGGGGGGGATGACCTCCCTTGAGGTTCTCCACACTCTTCCTGACGTTGCCCAAGGATGCCATTGGCCTTTTTGGCCACAAGGGCACGTTGTTGGCTCCTGGATAATTTATTATCTCCCAGGAGCCCTAGATCCTTCTCCTCAGAACTGCTTTCCAGCAGGTCCACCCTCAACCTCTACTGGTGCCTGGTGTTCCTCCTCCCCAGGTGCTTCCCCTTGGTGAACCTCATGAGGTTCCTTCACGGTTCCTGGTTTATCTACCAAATGTTTTCCAAAGTCCGGATTTTAGAAGCAGTTTTGAAAAGTTGGGGTTTTTTTTCCTTTTGGGAGTCTCATCACTGCTCCTCTGCTTGCAGAACGTGAAGCAGCAGGGACCAATCCTGACGAAACACGGCAAGAACCCCGTCATGGAGCTCAACGAGAAGCGACGGGGCCTGAAATACGAACTGATCTCGGAGACGGGCGGCAGCCACGACAAACGCTTCGTCATGGAGGTGAGGGGACTCCTCCCTTCACCCAAAACCCCAGAGCTGGGACTTTATACCCTCAAGAAGAACTTAAAAAGGATAAAATCACAAAAAGTTGGGGGTTGGAAGGGACCTTTAGAGATCAGGGAGGTTTTCACCGCGTGGGGGTTGCTCAAAGCCCCGTCCAACCTGACTTGGAAAACTCCTAATTCCTGGAATTAACTACGGGCACTAAAAAAACCTAAAAAATATGAATTTACCCAAAAGGCTGCTCCTGCCCCGTCCCACTCATGTGATTTATTCCCTTTCCAAGGTGGAGGTGGACGGGCAGAAATTCCAAGGAGCCGGTTCGAATAAGAAGGTGGCCAAAGCCTACGCTGCTCTGGCCGCGCTCGAGAAGCTCTTTCCGGATGCTCCGGTGGCCATCGAGCAAAACAAGAAGAAGAGAGCCCCCGTGCCAGCCAGGGGGGGCCCCAAATTTGCAGTAAAAGTAAGTAAATTCACATTTTTTTAACACTTTTGTGGTATAACTCACGGTTCCGTGGTACCGTTGTCTCCTTTGTGGTTTAATCCCTTGACCCCCCCCATCTTCTGGGACTCCCCTTGGGCCCCAGTCCTGGGGTTCCCCCTTGACCCCTCCATTCTAGGGGGGCTCCCCTTGGTCTCCCTGTTCTAGGGTTCCCCAGGTCCCCCATCCTGGGGCTCCCCTCTGGCCAGAACCCCACACCTCCCTTCACCCCATTCTTGGGGGGCCTCCCTCTTCCTGGGGCTCCCCTCGGTCTCCCCCTCTGTTCTAGGTCTCCTTTGCCCCCTCCATTACCCCTCCCCATTGTAGGGGGGCTCCCCTTGACCCCATTCTTAGGGGGCTTCCCTCTGGGCAGCGTCCTAGGGCACCCTTGAACCCCCGTTGACCCCCCCCATCTTCTGGGACTCCCCTTGGGCCCCAGTCCTGGGGTTCCCCCTTGACCCCTCCATTCTAGGGGGGCTCCCCTTGGTCTCCCTGTTCTAGGGTTCCCCAGGTCCCCCATCCTGGGGCTCCCCTCTGGCCAGAACCCCACACCTCCCTTCACCCCATTCTTGGGGGGCCTCCCTCTTCCTGGGGCTCCCCTCGGTCTCCCCCTCTGTTCTAGGTCTCCTTTGCCCCCTCCATTACCCCTCCCCATTGTAGGGGGGCTCCCCTTGACCCCATTCTTAGGGGGCTTCCCTCTGGGCAGCGTCCTAGGGCACCCTTGAACCCCCGTTCTAGGTCTCCCTTGGTGTGTGTCCCCCCCCCATGGTTCTAGGTCTCTCTTGGCATCCCCCCCTCCTGTTCTAGGTCTCCCTTGGCTCTGTCCATTGTCTCTCCTCCCCACCCATGGTTCTAGGTCTCCCTTGGCTCCATCCATTGTCTGTCTGTCCCATCCCAGCAGCACAACCCGGGGTTCGGCATGGGGGGCCCCATGCACAACGAGGTGCCCCCCCCTCCCAACATGAGGGGCCGGGGCCGGGGCGGCAACATGCGGGGCCGCGGCAGAGGCCGGGGCGGATTCGGTGGCAACCACGGTGGCTACATGAACGCAGGTGAGAAGCTGCCCCAAATCCCCCCAAAACCCCCCAAAAATTAATCCCCCCCCTCCCCAACCCCTTCTCGCCCTTCGTTTTCCTCGTAATTAAGCATTTTTTTCTCTTCCAATCCAGGTGCTGGGTACGGAAGTTACGGCTACGGAGGGAATTCGGCGACGGCGGGCTACAGTAAGTGGGGTTTTCTTTGGGGTTTTGCTTTTTTTTTTTGGTTTATTTTTTTTAAATATTAAATTTGGAAAAGGCGTCGAGCTGCTGGGGGCGCGGAACTCGGAGCCGGGGCTGGTGCAGAACCTTCTTAAAAAGGGTTTTTGGTTTTTATTTTTGATTATTTTTTTTTTCCTCTTTTTGCAATGAGAAGTAGTGAAAATACCAGTTTAAAAATTTAAAACACGAATCACAAGGCGATTTCACGTTTCCTCTCGAAACGGTGAATATTTTAAATTTCTCTGCTTTGAGCCACGTGGAGCTGGCGGCCACGCTTTTTCAAGGGGATTTTTATATTTTTTTTCCCTGACCCAAAAAAATAAACAAACAAACAAAAAAACCCAAAAGAGGCAGCGATTTGGGCTAGAGAAAAAAGGAGCCTTCACTTGTTGGGGGGGGGGAGTGAGAGGAGCAGAGAAATCTAAAACCCGACTTTTCAAAATGTGGCGCCTTTTGCCCTTTTCCAAAGAATTCTAATTTCTTTTCTCTGCTCTGTTCTCCCCCTTTTGTAGGTGACTTTTTCACAGACTGCTACGGCTATCATGATTTTGGGGCTTCCTAGATCATCTAAAAGTCTTGTGTGTACACGCACACACTCAAAAAACCAAACCCAAAAAAAAAAAAACCCCAAACTGCAGCTTTTTACACCAATTTTCTCTCCAAGTCCATAAACCCAAGCGTTGGTGCCGTGTCCCTCTGCTTCACTGGGTTTCTCAACAGTGGCTCTGTCACCGCAGCTTGTCCTCAAACTCCCTTAGTCTGCAGGATTCCAGACAATTTTATTATCTTTTTTTGGTTTTTTTATTGGGATTTGCCTTTGAACTGGGTCCTTTCTCCGTGTACGCGCCGGGGGGAAGCGATTATCCAAGGAAAATGGTTTTTTTTGGGACAAAATTAGCACAAATTTCCAAGCCGGCTCCGTTTATCAGCGTTAAAGGCACAAAAACCAAAAGCCCTTTTTTTTTTGCTTTTTTTTTTTGGTTTTCCTGGAAAGCATCACTTTTAAGAAACTGGAGTGTTTTAAAGCGACCTTTTTGTCTTAAATTTGGATAAAATTTGAGCCTTTTACGAAATCCCAGCGGTTTGGGTAACGCGCTCTCTCTGCAGGAAGGACTTTTTTTTCCAGCCTTGGCTTTTTAAATGTTTGACTTGTCCGTGGAATTGGGGGGCTGGGGGGGGCTCAAATCTCCTGGAATTTAATCCCAGGGGTAAAAACAGGGGTTGGGGACTGCTGGGGGTGGCAGTTAATTGGGGTTTAATGAGAATTGGGATTGTGCTCCCTCATCCCCAAAAACCCACAGGTGTCGGGGGGTGGCGTCACCCTGGTAAAAGCTTGGGGTGGGGGTGGAAAAAAAGGGGAAAAAAGCCCAAAATGGGCTTTTTTTTGAGCCAAGCATAAAGGGCCTAAAGCACTTGGCGGCGCTGATCCCGAAAAAACACCCTGAGCCCCCAAAATTTTTCACCTGGAGAATTAATTTCCCCCAGAATTGGGAACTGGGGGGAATTTTCCGAGTGTCTGGTCCTTTATTCTTGGGATGGTACTTTTTTTTGGGTGGGGGGGGGTTATTTAGTGTTTTTTTTCTTTTCTGACTGTATTTTGTTCGTCGCGGTTTGCGGCGCCGTCGGACGCGCTCGGTTGGAGGCTTCGAGGAGGTTTGAGTTAATTCAGTGATTCCAGGAACTAAACAAAAATGAAAGAAAACACACACACAAAAAAAACCCCACCTTTGACCTGGGAAGCACCAGATTTAGGGAAAAAAAAACAATTTCAAGGAGTTTAGGAGATACTTTAAATAATAACAACAACATGTTCTGTTATTTTAGAAAGCTGCTCTTTGAGGGAATGATGTTTTTTTATACAAAGGAGTAGATTCTGTCCTGAAAGAGGCAGAAAAAATGTCCTTTTTTAAGCGACCTCCTGTTGAAGTCGCTCCTCGTGGCCGGATATTTGGATTTTTTACCTTTGAATTGGGGGAAATTCAAATAATCCCATCTACGGCGTGAAAACTCGGTGGTTCAATATGAAGTTGTGGATATAAAATGTAAATTCCAGAATTAATTGATTTGGGAGAGACTAATTTCCAGCATCCGCAGCTTGATTGGAGAAACCCCCCCTGCTCTTGACCCAAAACTGGGGGTTTTAACACCAATGAGGTGTCTCTGGGCAGGGAATTATCCTCCTACAGCCGTGGCCGGAGCAGAATCGAGGGCAGAACCCCCCTTTTCTGCACCCCTAAATCCTGATTTCCTGTGGAAAAGGGGGGGAAAATGTTGCGTAGGAAGTCGTAGCGTGGTGGGGGGTAGATTGGAATCGAGGAAAAAGCTGAAAAAATGACAATTTAAGTGAATTTCCAGCCCAAACCCACCCCATTTAGGGCTGGAATTGGGGTTTGACCTCACCTGGAGTCGTCCCACGGAACTGGGGGCTCCAAAGGCACCAGATTTTCCTTCTTTGCCTCCTTTTTAACTAAATTCTCCCCCATTTCTCCTCCCTTTTGGGGAGCAAACCCTTCCCTCTCTCTTGGAGGTGCAGCTCTGTCCCTGGAGCTGGGTTTTTAGGTAGATTTTAGTGGCTTTTATTGAAAAGAAACTTTAGTTTTTAATACGTAGAACGAAATCCTCCTGCACTCAAGCCCCCACGGCAAAGAACTCCCCCCCCCAAAAAAGTCCAACTGGCAGAAATTTGGGCAGAAAAAGAATGTCTACTGTAATATTCTTGATAAATAAATTTAAAAATGAAACCCCCAGACTTAACTCTGGATTGTTTCCGGGCTCCGGGCTCTCGGAGTGTTTCGATAAAGGGGTTTTTTTGGGACCTCGGATCCCCAATTTGGGGGTAAAAAGGTTCAATTCGCCCCCCTGGCGCCTCTCAATTCCTGTCGGATCCTTCTCTGCTGCCTGAATCCATCCTGGAACCATCCTCCTGGGAGTGGGCACAATTCCTCGTTAAGGGAAGGAGCTTAATTGGGAAGGAGCTTTATTCCTCGTTAGCGTTCCTCGTTAGCACCTCCCAGGGTTGCGGAGCCACCAAATTGGCTCAAAAAGGGGTTGGAGCAGCAAATCCCAAACCTCTGTTGAGCCTTGGGAGCCCTGAGCGGAGTGGGAATTAAAATTGGGAGGGGGGGTGGCTGGAAAATGGGGCTGTTTCCATGTTTTTCACCATTTCCTGCTCGGATGAAGATGGTTTCTCACCTTTAACCCCCCCCAAGAGCGAAATCCCTCCTAAACCCCAGGGTAAAAATCTCAATCATTAAAATAATGCCTGCCTACCCACCCTATCCCCCCTCCCCTCCCCAAAAAAACCCCAAAAAAGGTGTTTTTTCTCTCCCTTTAGGCCAATTCTACAGCAACGGCGGCCACTCCAACTCGGGGGGCGGCGGCGGAGGCGGCGGCGGGGGCTCCTCCGGTTACGGCTCCTACTACCAGGGGGGGGATAACTACAACTCCCCCGTGCCCCCCAAACACGGGGGCAAGAAACAGCAGCACGGGGGCCAGCAGAAGCCCTCCTACGGCTCGGGCTACCAGTCCCACCAGGGCCAACAGCAACAATCCTACAACCAAAACCAGTACGGCAACTACGGGCCCCCCCAGGGCAAGCAGAAAGGCTACAACCACGGCCAAGGCAACTACTCCTCCTACTCCAACTCCTACAACTCGCCCGGAGGTGGAGGCTCCGACTACAACTACGAGAGCAAATTCAGTGAGTTATGGGGGTGTTTTTTCTAATTTGGGGGGGCCATCAGAAGGACATGGAGGTGTCGGAGCGGGGCTGGAGGAGGTCCCTGGAGAGAGATGGTGGAGCCCCTCTGCTGGGAAGGGGGGCTGAAAGAGTTGGGGGGGTTCAGCCTGGAGAAGAGAAGGCTCTGGGGGGACCTTGGAGCCCCTTCCAGTCCCTCAAGGGGCTCCAGGAAAGTTGGGGAGGGAGCAGGGATCAGGGAGAGGAGCCATGGGACCAGGGGGAAGGGGTTTAAGCTGAAAAAGGGGAGATTTAGTAATAACTTCTTTGATGTGAGGGTGACGTGGGGAGAGCCTGGCCCAGGTTGCCCCGAGAAGCTGTGGTTGCCCCATCTTCAGGGAGACCTTGGAGCCCCTTCCAGTCCCTCAAGGGGCTCCAGGAGAGATGGGGAGGGAGCAGGGATGAGGGAGAGGAGCCACAGGACCAGGGGGAAGGGTTTTAAGATAAAAAGGGGAGATTTAGGGAGAAATTGTTGACTCAGGTGGGGAGAGCCTGGCCCAGGTTTTCCAGAGAAGCTGTGGCTGCTCCATCTCCAGGGAGACCTTGGAGCCCCTTCCAGTCCCTCAAGGGGCTCCAGGAGAGATGGGGAGGGAGCAGGGATCAGGGAGGGGAGCCATGGGACCAGGGGGAAAGGTTTTAAGCTGAAAAAGGGGAGATTTAGGAATAACTTCTTTGATGTGAGGGTGGGGAGAGCCTGGCCCAGGTTTTCCAGAGAAGCTGTGGTTGCCCCATCTCCAGGGAGACCTTGGAGCCCCTTCCAGTCCCTCAAGGGGCTCCAGGAGAGATGGGGAGGGAGCAGGGATGAGGGAGGGGAGCCATGGGATGAGGAGGAACGGTTTTGAGGTAAAAGAAGGAAGATTGAGGGAGAAATTGTTGACTCTGAGGGTGGTGAGAGCTTGGCCCAGGTTGCCCAGAGGAGCTGTGAGGTTGCCCAGAGAACCATGAAGAGGTTCAAGGCCAAGGTTGGACGTGGGGTGGGGATGTCCCTGCCCAGGGCAGGGGGTGACATTTGGTGGGGTTTTAAGGTCCCTTCCAACCCATCCCACGATTCTACAAACTCGGAGGGCTCTATTTTAATTGATTTAATTGGATGAGAGCAACAACTGGGCAGGAAACCTCCCGGGGTTTGGTCTCCTCCTCCTCGTGGCCACGCTCGTGCCTTTGGGAGGATGAAGATGGAGTTGCCCTGTTCTTACTTCATCCTCCAACCTCAGTTTCTTACCCTGGGAGGGGGGGGTTGAGCATCTCTGCACCCTCCTGGGTGCTCCCCAGCTCCGTGGGGAGCTTTTAACACCCTGAGGAGAAGGAAAGAGGCAGAACTTAACTTTAACACCAAATGGAGTTAAATCCAGCTGGTGTCCAGTCACCAGTGGTGTCCCCCAGGGCTCAGTAACTGGGACCAGTTCTCTTTAACATCTTTATCAATGATCTGGACGAGGGGATGGAGTGCACCCTCAGCAAATTTGCAGATGACACCAAGCTGGGTGGCAGTGTTGATCTGCTGGAGGGTAGAGAGGCTCTGCAGAGAGATCTCCACAGGCTGGATCCATGGGCTGAGACCAACGGGATGAGGTTCAACAAGGCCAAGTGCCAGGTCCTGCACTTGGGTCACACCAACCCCATGGATGATCCAGGCTGGGGGCAGAGTGGCTGGAGAGCTGCTGGGCAGAAAAGGACCTGGGGGTGTTGGTGGCCTGTGGGCTGAACAGGAGCCAGCAGTGTGCCCAGGTGGCCAAGAAGGCCACCAGCATCCTGGCCTGTGCGAGTAGGCCCCGAGAGGTGATTGTCCCCCTGGACTGGGCACTGGTGAGGCCTCACCTTGAGTACTGGGTCCAGTTTTGGGCCCCCTACCATAAAAAAAGACCTTGAGGTGCTGGAGCGGGTCCAGAGAAGGGCGACAAAGCTGGTGAGGGGTCTGGAGAATAAGGAGAAGCTGAGGGAGCTGGGGTTATTCAGCCTGGAGAAGAGGAGGCTGAGGGGAGACCTTCTTGCTCTCTCCAACTCCCTGAAAGGAGGGTGTAGAGAGGTGGGGGTCGGTCTCTTTTCTCAAGTCACAGGCGA